GAGCATATAGTAAATAGGATATATAACCATTAACATATTGAGATATGGTCCACTTAAAGAAAAAAATGTTTAGCAAAAAATACAAAAAGCATTACAGAAGTTAGAAATCACTCTATTTGCAATGGAAAAAAAAGAAGCAGCTTAAATTAAAAAAAAGCTCAGCAGTCTGCACTATCATCACTATTACTAGCATTGTTAATGGAATCATCATCATATCTAATTTCCCCATCATCTTCATCTTCGCTACTCTCAATTTCTACAAAAGGCGGTGGTGAGGCGCGCCTTGAGGCATGAGCCTCAGATTTAGAGGCGTGAGCCTCAGATTTTTAACCTAAAAAATATCGCATTGAGGCACACTACATGCGCCTCAAGGCGCGCCTCACTACCGCCTTTTTAAACCATGCGCTTATGATATGATCTAATGTTCCAAAGAAACCGGGGGACATTTGTGATGGAATTCAAATGTAATTGCAACCTTACAAATAGAGAAGAGGAGAGTTCCTGTGCAAAAAATGTGAAGTTCCTATTCTCACATTTCGTCTTTAATCTTACATTACCACTTTTCGCTTATATTAGTGCTTCAGTCGCTTCGATAGTAAGTCTTTTCTGTAGTTTTGGTAGGTATATGAAATTTGATATGAGAAAAGGATCCCAGAAAGAGTTCCATAATGAGCAAACAAATAGTGCACATCTTTTGTCTCTCTTTAACCATTAGAGGGTCACATTAACCGAGTTCACTGAATGAAAAGTACTTAAATAATATGATGGTGTTCTCTGTTATCATCTGATGAAGCAGGATAAATTATTTTGCAGTGGAGACACCACTGTACACATTCTTTTTATTTCAGATAACTAGAAGTATAAGCTACTTAAAGGTTTAAGAGATAAATGAACAAACAGGATGATACAGGTGTACCATGGGAGATTTATAATTTTTATGTGCAATCTTAGAGCATATATTCCCTCGATGAAAGAACCAAGGTCCAAAGTACAAATTTGACACTTTAATGGAAGTTTCAGCAAGAACAGAAACAATAAAATTAAATCATCCATGGTGCATATAGAGAAGTCTACACATTTTCAATATACTGCCTACGGGTAATATTTCAATTGAAGGAGTTCAGCACCTAGATGGACAGTTTTAGCACAATCAACAAGATATTGGGTCAACACAACCACCATATGTACCAAGTTGTTCCCAGCTTCTGTTGCATGAATTATGACACCCTTCAAATCAATAACAAGTTTCCCATGTTTTTCTCTTTCCATAGTTTTCATTAGGTACACAAAGTTCTATCTGGAGAAAGGGTTCCAGAAATGAGTACAATAAATGAGCATAAGATAGCATACAACTAGGTTACTTTAATTAAGTGTACTGAATCAACAATACACACAAATAATATAATGGTATTCCCTACCAACTTATCATCTCATGAAGCAGAAAATACTGTCATGCAGCACAGATGCTCTGTTCTTATCAGTTCACATCTCAAATTTTGTCGTCTTTATCTTGTTGTTTCTGATCATTAAGTGTATAAGCTGATTAATATTTAAATTATGATTAAATTTAAAGTACCCGAGGTCATATTGGAAAAAGGTGAGCCATGGGAAACTGTGTGTTCAGTGGAATAGAACCCAGGATACTTAATTTAGATTATGTGACGTCCTGTATCTGACTGCTTTCCAGAGAAAAATATCTGCAGACTGAACTTATAACCACATTATGAATATTTGCAATATGTGCATTCTTTCCTGCACATGTACTTTGAATTGGTTACAGTTTATGTTGACAAGATATTCAATGGTTTTCAGACTCAACCAATCATGATATGCACCACTAAGATGCATATGACAGCAATACCTAAATGGGTCAGTGACAATATAAGCAGATGTAGTGTGGCAGAAAGCCCTACATGGTTAGTGCACTGAACATATGCTAGTGACATCATCATATTTATCAGAAGTACAAGTAATTGCATCAGATGATTTGAAAATGTAATTGGATCATACCCTAACTTTTGCATTTTTGAAAGCTCCTTTACAATGTATTCGCAAGATTCCTCAATAAAATCATAGCATGACAAGAGGCTAAGTCCAGCGATAAATTCTTCAGTCTGTTTTGCAGGAGAAAACAAAAAATACCAGTGTAAGAATACCTTAACATTTGCCATAGGTATCGTAAATTTTAGGGATTGATAAGCAATCAAATATGACATTCAAGGTATATGCTAACAAATTGCTCATCTATGCAAAAAAAAGACTTCTACCGATTTTTGTTGTTAAATAGGAAACGGATCTATATGACGTACTCGAGCCGGTTAAATGAGCATTCCACTTGTCCAAGTAGAATCAGATCTCAATACAATATCCAAAGTTGTTTTGCTATATGATGAAGAACTTGAGAAAGAAACAGAAGAGAGCTGAAGGAAGAAATTTCAATATACTGACAACCAATAGCCTCCGTATTTGAATAAAACCTACTTCACTTTTTGACTTAATAACAACACAGTGCACGTTATGGACTTAACCGTTTCGACTCTTACATCATTGGAAATCTTTTTCATAGAGTCAGTGAGAGAACAATCATGCTACAAGTACAGAAAATTTTGACGAAAATACAGACAACACATGGCGAGGATTCACTGGAGGATTGAAAAAAAAAAAAAAGCAGACGAATCAGATGCTGCCACAACAGCATCGGTAGGACAATTGGGGATTTTTCCGTGAGCGAAATAGAAATGGATGAGCTTCATTTTCACAGTAATACCTGCACAAATTTCTCACTCTGAAAACTGGTCGATCGAAACACCCAATAATGTACCTTTCCTTTCCTTTTTTTTTCTCTAAATTCCCCCCAAAACACAGAATGATAAATTTTCTATAAGCTCAACCAACTGAATTAATAACAACCAACTCAAACAGAAACCACTTGTAGCAAGTCACAACTAATTTCAAAAAAATAAAAGAATGAAACCAAAAAGAGAACGAGATTTATACCCTTCCGTAGGCGTTAATATCTAGTCCATTAAAAAGCAATTTCGCCAGATCTTCTTTCAGAAACCTCTGCTTAGCCTCAGCTCTCCGTCGCACCAATTCGATCCTCGTCCGAGTGGCTTTGATGATCGATTTACTACACTCCAATTCAAGATAAAATTAAAAAATATATATAATAAAAAAAAAACCTCAAGCATGTATATACACAAAGAAAGAGATCAGACCATTTGGAGCTGAATCCACGACCTAACAAACCTTCTAACATTTTGAATCTGCTGCTTTTCTACAAACCCGGATATTCAAAACACTGGTAAAGTGAAGCAAACTAACTGATGAGCTCGAAGTAGAGAGAGAATTGTGGAATTGTGTAAATTGATCCTCCATTTTTATATACTTTAAACTCACTTTGGGATGGAAATGCATCCTCCAGTGGGCCACTAGTTGAATGTTTTCTTATCGTGACAGCGCCGTCAAAAGAGTTCCGAATGGCTTTGTGACGGTTGCATAATTTAAAATAAATATATAATAATTTTGAAACTTTTTTTTTCTCAATAATTTTGAGACTCCGTAACGGCTAATTTTCTACTAAAAATTGCTAGAAAGTTTTTTTTTTTAATGGTAAAGAGTACATATTACTACCAACTTCCCATGTGTTTCCCACATGCTTTCTTCCAACTTCCCATGTGTGTCTAGGTCAAAGAGCATAATTTTGTTAACAATAATGATCATGCTATTCAATCGAAAAGAGAGTTGAGTTGAATTCCACCGGTTGTTTGCTAAAAAATTGTAGAGGAGGCTTCACTATGTTTTTCACAAATGACATTGGGGTTGTCGGTGGGAACTTTCGGGTATTTAATAAATGGAACCGTCGGGTCCAAATTTAATTATGGAACCGTTCGGGTTCGGTTCGGTTCGGTTCGGTTCAAGCCGGTTCGGTTAGAGCCGGTTCGGGTCCGTTCGGTTTCGTACCATAATTTAATTTTTTTATATTTACANCAATAATTTTGAGACTCCGTAACGGCTAATTTTCTACTAAAAATTGCTAGAAAGTTTTTTTTTTTAATGGTAAAGAGTACATATTACTACCAACTTCCCATGTGTTTCCCACATGCTTTCTTCCAACTTCCCATGTGTGTCTAGGTCAAAGAGCATAATTTTGTTAACAATAATGATCATGCTATTCAATCGAAAAGAGAGTTGAGTTGAATTCCACCGGTTGTTTGCTAAAAAATTGTAGAGGAGGCTTCACTATGTTTTTCACAAATGACATTGGGGTTGTCGGTGGGAACTTTCGGGTATTTAATAAATGGAACCGTCGGGTCCAAATATAATTATAGAACCGTTCGGGTTCGATTCGGTTCCGTACCATAATTAAATTTTTTAATATTTACAACAACACTATATAAATACAACTAATGACATTTTATTCGTAACTTTTATAAATTTTATCTCATTTGAAGGTTTTAAATTTAATGAGCAAATTCGAATAGTCATGTAATCATGAGCAAATTAAAATAGGTTAATGGGCTTTAAAAATGATTTGGTAATCTGATTTATTTAATTAATTTGCTAATTTGTTTAGAAAATAATAAAATAATTTAATTAATTCAATATAAAAAATAAAAAAAATTATTTAGTTTTGATTTTTCGGTTCTTGGTCTAGACCCGAGACTCGACCTAAACTCATCGATTCTTAATTCGGGTACCCATTTGAATATTTAACTTATGAAGAACCATTCGATTCGATCCGATTCGGTTCGAAACTTTTGGACACCCCTAAATGACACCATCTTGTTGACATAAGTCGATTGTTTAATTACTCTCGCAACTCGCGAAAGATTTACCTTTTCTTTCCTCTTCTTTCTATTCGGGATTAGAGAAAGGTTAATAGGAATGCTAACAAAAGAAAGAATGATCACCATTTTTACTACTACAATTGCTTTAATGCTAGAGTTTTGTAGATGACTAGGATGAATTGGGAACAGTATGATTTGTTCAAGGAAATAATTTACTTTTTTGTCATTTACCCCTATCTATTAGAATTGTCTTTTATTTATATTGTAACTGCAAGTAGGGACGGATCCAGGATCAGATTACAGGCCGGACTAATACGTAAAATAAAATAAAATTACACATGATTTTTTTTTACATAATGTTTTTTCTAACTAAAAAATATCAGTACAGCCCCCCTCCATCCGTCCCTGACTGCAAGTATTCATTTCTGACACCCAATAATTTTATGGACATGATCTTACTGAGAGACATATGTCTTCATACTATTGATTGAGTGGGTCGAGTCAGCATGTGAAGGGACATGGTGTCGTAGGTGAATGTAGTATTGATACAATATTTCGTAAAACACATTTTCAGTGTCAAGTCTTGTATGTTTAGAGTATTTTGAAATTGGTGCATGCAAGTTAAATTATTATCGAGCGAACATGCTCTCTACATTTATTCAACTGTCGACGAACTGGTTACAATAGTGAATCCTCATTCAGATTGAACCCCTATTTGGGCTCCATTTTAATCAAAATGGTATATTTCACTTTTCAACCATACATTTTTAATAAAATAATATTACACGTAAATTTAAAAAATTTCATTCCTTTTAACCACAAAATCTTAAAAAAAAAAAAGTACTATACCAAAATACATTTTCCTTAAATTTTGATTTGGAAAAACTATCCAAAACCCTAAATATAAAATATAATGTTGACCTCAATTTTTGCTCCAACAGAATTTCGAACACATTCCCTCCACGTAGACATTTCCTGAACATTGGAACACGTCGTTAGAAAGCAAATAGCGTCGGTCGAGAAGAATGTCCGACAACCATTTACACTCCGATGATCAAGTCAACGATCGAAAGAGAAAGAAATGAGTGCAAGAGATGCGAAACGGGATTTGGTTAGGGTTAGAATAAACATTACATTGATTGTAAATCGACTTACCTATATATAGGACAGATATGGAAATGGGCCAAGCAAGGCTAATGGGTCAGGCCCAAGCCCAAGACGTTATTGCTTGATCAAATAAGTTCAATTCAATTGAATGATAGGTGCTGAGTTGGCCAATGTGAGACCTCCTTCGTCGTGTGCATGCTACATAATTTATAGATATAACAATAGTCGTCCAAAGTTGAGTTGTATATTTATGTGCGGGTCGAACTTGAAATATAAGTTATTAAGTAGGCTAAATCTTACAGATTGCCTCAAAAATATGAGCAGCTCAAATAAATGAGACGAACTGTCTCGAAAAAATTCGTGTGAGCCGAAATAAGTGAAGACTTAAAGATTGCCTTTGAAATATCACACTATAATTTATCGAAATTTCTTCAGCATTTTCTCTATAATATGGACAAAGCCAACCTCAAATAAAATATAATATCTTTGCAGCACATATACAAAATAATTTGGATCCATTTGCCCCTCTAAATAAAGTAAAATGGTGATCAAGTCGAATTTGTTAGTGTAAAGCAAGTAACATGATGTCAATAATAAAATGATAATGTAGATAACGGGGCATGCGCACATGCAGTAGAGAAAATGGTGTTACGATATACTAGTAATGATATGACATGTATATTTTGCAGCAATAATATAATTCATATACTAGCAATAATAATGTAATGATACTAAAATGCCAGTATCACAATAGTCATCCAAGCCCAAATATGAATATTCATATAATACATGGACTTTTTGATATAGGCGAGACTCTAAATAACAACGGTGATAAGCTAATGCTAAGGCATCTTCTTCGCTTGAGGACAAGGCTCTGAATGATTGCAACTTTGAGAAAAAAATGTGGAAGCAGAGGCGAGGTTCTTGCTTGATGACTGTTCGTTAAAATTATGTATCGCAAGTGTACAGGTCGTGTTTAAATAGTAAAGTGAAATATAAGTCAGCGTTGATGCCTCGAAAAATATTTACTTTTAATTATACTACTCTAGTTAATTTAATTCTAACAATAAAAGAAAAAAAACACGATATGAATTTAATATTTTGAAAATTAAAAAAGAAAAAAAATTCAATTCAATTCAATTCAAAGCACATCACATTACAATGCCCTTTTTAGCATGACAAAGTAAATGAGGTTTGATCCCCTAGCATATGGTTATCACCTAACTTATACTTGTTAATCAAAAACACTCTACACGAATATGATCACACGCATGGAATCAATACATTTTTAAATAATATCCTTCATCGGCTCGACCATCTCCAAACTTATCCCACAATATGGCTAAATGAAAGATAAGAGAATGTAGGATTGATGGAAATTATACACAACTCATAACCTAGTTCTACCAATTCAAAAATCTCTTCATCAATAAAAAAATTGCACATCCAGATAACAATTTGTCATGATTATTGTGTTCTCAAGGTAACTCAAGATCTTACAATGGATAAACACTTTTTTCAAAATAAATAAATTAGGTACAAATAGTACATTTGATCATAGCTCATGAATCTACAACAATTGAAAACATCAGGCCATCCTAAACCAACATGGTTATGTTAAATGTCAACACAAATCACCTCAAAATAAGCATGATCACTCCAAACATAAATTACACATTATCCTACATGTGTAAAAGAACGATATAAAAGAGAATAAGGGTTTAACGAGACTTTGCCTCCCGATAAGCATTTTTTATAGTCTTTAACTCGATTTTAAACATTTGAATCGTGACGAGACTTTGCCTCCCGATAAGCATTTTTTATAGTCTGTAGCTCGATTTTAAACATTTGAATCGTGGACATCTAAATAAGGCTTTTGATGCCTAGCACATATTTCTTCGTTTGGCTTTGCTCCACTCTTTATTATTTCTCTGAACCTCTACTTTGCCCCTTTCCATGTAAAGGGACTTTCTCATTCAATCCGATTCAAATTCAACTAGGAAGACTACCACATTCTCTTTGGGCTTAATAATAAGTCGGAAGAATGTAAGTTGATTTTCTCCTCATTAATTTCCATATCTTCATTTGGTTCCGTTATGATTAATTTGTTATTCTCTTTAAACTTTTATTCAATTGTTGATTTATCCTCGAGTTGAATGATTGTTCAGAAATCTAAATCAGCGGACAATGAGAAGTCGATTCCATTGACTTCGTTGGGGGATTATACCCCTACTTTTGAAATCCAGCTTGGCAAGTACATGTAGTCTCCCATAGGCATGTCGTTTTCATCCAACTTAACAAGTTCTTTAAAGTAATTTTTCGTTCAATAGAAGAGGACCATCTTGAAAGCTATTAATCTTCA